CAATAATTTAGTATTATTATTCCTTAAAAATAGCTGAAAATGGAGCTGTGTGCGTGCGCGTGCGTTTGTGACTTTGTGTGTGTTTGTGACTAAATGTGTGTTTCTTTGTTTGTTTGTGTTTGTGACTCTGTATGTGTTTATGGCAGTTTATGTTTGTTTATTTGTGCGTGTGTGTGTGTGTGTGTGTGTGTGTGTGTGTGTGTGTGTGTGTGTGTGTGTGTGTGTGTGTGTGTGTGTGTATGTATGTGTGTGGGTGTATTCTTATGTGTGTCGCGTGTGTTTTGACCGTGTGTTCGTGTATGTGTGTGTATGTCTTGTCACGTTCGGCGAAAATGGTGAGAGGAAAATATTCTTTCACCCTTCAATGTCCATCAATTCTCTTCCTGCGTTCTTTTACTGTCCATAGTCTGCCTCTCTCGTCTCTGTTGCAGCCATACACCCTCCCTCATCTTCCTCATTTCCCATGAAAAAAATGTCCTCATACTTACTGGCCTTTGTCTCCTAACCTCACGCCTTTCCTACATCCATCTCTCACTCACACTTTTTCGTCTTTCCTTTCTGTGTCAACGTCGTTCATATATTAACTCATTCTTCCTCACAATCCAGTTTAATGAGGTGGCGCACACTTCATCTCTCACTCCTTCAATAATCAAACTATTTTTTCACTCACAGTTAAATGTATTAACGCGGTGGTGAGTAAAATAATACCTCTCGATTCCAGTTCACCTCATCACCTCTCTTTCTCTCCCTCACACTGCCTCATACTCACTCACGATCCAACTCATTGTCGTGAACATGAGGCACACATCTCTCACACATTTCTATTTCAATCCGTCACTATCTCACCTCATTACTAACGATCAAACTGACTGACGCGGTGATAAGATCCTCATACATCTCATTTCCAGTCCGCATCGCCATCTCCTCCTCACGCTTTGCCTCATGCTCTCTCACAATCCAAAGTACGGACGGGATGATAAAACACAGCCATTTATATTGCCATCTGCCTCTTCCTCACAATCGAAAGTCACTCTGCCTCATAGTCGAACATAACGAGGTGTTCTGAAGTTATAATTCGCCATCTGTCCCTTCCTCACAATTTATACTCATTCTCCCTCATAATCCAAAATACCAACAGGGTAATAAAACACAGCCTTCCTCATAATCTAACTCATTCTGCCTCATAATCGAACATAACGAGGTGTTTGGAAGTTATAATTCGCCATCTCCCCCTTCCTCACAATTTATACTCATTCTCCCTCATAACCCAAAATACCAACAGGGTAATAAAACACAAACCTCCCTCACAATCGAACTCACCCTACCTCCTACTCGAACACATATCGAGATGATCGAAAAAACAGCTTTAAATCGCCATCTGCCGCTGCCTCGCAATTTATACTGACTCTCCCTCGCAATCCAGCTCTGAGAGTGTGGAAAGGAGTCATCTAACATGGAAACGAAGTTACGTGTGGCGAGAGAGGCAACTCAGAGCACGTCAGTAGTAGAATGTCGCAGCGACAGCTTGTTTCTCCATTTCACACCTCGCGTGGCCCGTGAAATTATGTTTCTTTTACGTATTTTATTCTAGGATGCACATATATATATATATATATATATATATATATATATATATATATATATATATATATATATATATATATATCTGTATATGTATATTTATGCATATACATAAATATATATTTATATACATATACATATATATGTACACACACACACACTCACAGTCACACTCACACTCGCACTCACATTCTCTCTCTCTCTCTCTCTCTCACACACACACACACACACACACACACACACACACACACACACACACACGCACACACACACACACACACACACACACACACACACACACACACACACACACACACACACACACACACGCACACACACACACACCAAAAAAAAACGACAGACAGACTCATCAACTTTCCAGTTCTTTGACTCCACTGCTGTTATTGTTATTATTCTCATTATTATTGCTATTACTCTTGTTCTCACTTCCATCACGTAACTACTAGTATCACTATTAGATTATAATCATTATCAGTATCACCTTTATAACTCCCATTGTCATCAGCATTACTTTGAAGTTATTGCACTTTTATAATTCGTGATTTATACTCTATAATTGCTTTTTTATTAATAGTATTGCTATTACTGATATTTCTATTGTTATTATTAATATTATTATTGATATTATCATTAATAGTATCACTATTATTATCATTAGTATTATCGTTATTTTTATTATCATCATCATCTTATTATCATTATCATTATTTCTATTATCATTATTACTATTATTATCATTATCCTAATTATCACCGCTACTATTATAATCATTACTAATATCATCATTATGAGCAACATCGTAAGTGTCATTATTACTTCTATTATCAATATTATTATTTTACCATGATTATCAGTGTCACCTTAAATTTCGTCATCATTATTTACACAATTATCACCACCATCATCATCACCATCTTCATAATTATTGCCATTATCATCACCCTCATCATCATCATTATTGTCATTATCATCCTCACTATCATCATCATCATCACCATCATCATTATTGTCATTATCATCCTCACCATCATCATCATCATCATCATCATTACTGCCATTATCATCATCACCATCATCATCATCACCATCATTATCATTATTGCCATTATCATTATTATCATGATCATCATTATTACTACCATCACTTTCTTTCCGTTTTTTATTTTTGTTTATTTATCTATTATTATCTATTTCTTTAATAACCATATTCTATATTTCTTTACTGCGCCCCATCAGGTCCCTAGATTATTTCCTTTTTCGTCATTATCTCTTTAATTCGACTAATCTTATTAATTAGGATAATCCTCTGCCTTTGATAACCAATCATCCAGAATTTCATTTGTTGTTCATCTACCATCGACAACCCTCATTCATGGAAAACTCATTAATATGTTGATTTAGTCAGCCGTCTTCTTCAATTCGTTCATTTGTCTGTTTCTCTCTTCATTCTCTCGCTTCACTTTTGTTGTTTTCTTGTTGTTATGTTTTAATTCTCTCGCTTCACTTTTTGTTGTTGTTTTCTTGTTGTTATGTCTTCATTCTCTCGCTTCACTGTTGTTGTCGTTTCCTTGTTGTTATCTCTTCATTCCCTCGCTTCGCTTTAGTTGTCGTTTCCTTGTTGTTATCTCTTCATTCCCTCGCTTCACTTTTGTTTTCGTTTCCTTGTTGCTATCTCTTCATTCTCTCGCTTCACTTTTGTTTTCGTTTCCTTGTTGGTATCTCTTCATTCCCTCGCTTCACTTTTGTTTTCGTTTCCTTGTTGGTATCTCTTCATTCCCTCGCTTCACTTTTGTTTTCGTTTCCTTGTTGTTATGTCTTCGTTCTCTCGCTTCGCTTTTGTTGTTTTCTTGTTGATATCTCTTCATTCCCTCGCTTCACTTTTGTTGTCGTTTTCTTGTTATCTCTCCATTCTCTCGCTTCACTTTTGTTGTTTTCTTGTTGTTATGTCTTCATTTTCTTGCTTCACTTTTATTGCCGTTTCCTTGTTGTTATCTCTTCATTCCCTTCTGTTCTTCATTCTTCCGTTCTTTCACCTGCATGTGGTCGTCTCGTCATTCGTGAATTTGTCCTTCATTCAGCCGTCTCATTATCCGGCTGTTTCTTTCTCTTTCAGTCTTCTCAGTATTTATTTGCTTCTCCTTTAATCAAACGCTTCTTCATCTCAATTTTTCTTTTCTTCTTCCAAAATAAATCATAATTTAATTGTTTCTCCGGCAACCGAGCGTCTTATCATCTCATTCCTTTTTTATTCTGTTTTTTCTCCCTTCGTAAATTTCATCATTTGGTTGTTTCTCATTTTTCGTATTCGTCCAACCTATGTCACTAACTATTTCACCCTCATCCAAATGTTTAGCCATTTATTTGATTCTCCATTATTCGAAAACCACATCAATCACACATTCCCTCATCTTCCAATGTGTGTGTGTGTGAGAGTGTGTGTATGTGTGTGTGTGTGTGTGTGTGTGTGTGCGTGTGTGTGTGTGTGTGTGTGTGTGTGTGTGTGTGTGTGTGTGTGTTTGTGTGTGTGTGTGTGTGTGCGTGTGTGTGTGTGTGTCTGTGTGTGTGTAGGCCCTACTCTTTTTAAATCAACTTAAATCATCACTCAACTGTCTCCCTCTTCCCGACCCTCTCGTCCAACCGTTTAAGCTTAACTCGTACCCAAAAGCCCTAGAAAAAACTATATACACATTATATATCAGAAAGAGTATTAGCTTAAAGATAACCGAGACCATCTACTTGATACACGACCTTTTTATTAATTATTATTATCAGTTAGTCTCCGATGGAACTACAAGACCCCGACAAAAGGAATTGTTTACCTTTGGCTTCGTAACGTATCATGGGACTTCCAAGTTTTACTTCTTAAAACACTTAGAACTGAGATAATAACAGGCCTCTTTTGTGATGGACGACTGTGCTACATTTTTTTTTTTTTTTTTTTTTTGGCGAGACAGAGAAAAGTCTTTTTCTTGTAAACAATACTACCTCTTTAATCTTATTTCCTTCCTGTACTTCCTTTTCAAAACAAAGTACTAGAAAAAGACTCTTTGATTCATTCATTTCCTTATGTTTGCGGAGACAAATGATCTTGAAGTACTGACTCAAATTTTTGTAAAATGATGATAATAATTATAATAATAAATAAATAAATAGATGAATAATAAATTCAGTAAAACAAACTCAAATTCAGTTTAAATATCAAAGTCAGTATAAAACATAAAGACTCAAAGCCAGTACAAAAAAAAATTAATTCAGAAAAAGAAATGCTCGACCTCAACACGAATGCCTTTAACTATCTAACAATTGGCGCAGTAACTAAGGTCACGCGCGAAGCCAACACTAGGTCAGGGTTCTTCACCAATCGGGCACTTAATAAAAGAGAAAAGAGATATATATCA